CCCCCGAGGCGGTCTTGGACCCCTCAGCGGTCTTGCGCCCCTCTGAGTCTCTCAAGGGCGGACGTCCGGAGTTGCTCCTTGTTCACGTTGTGGCGGTCCCGGGACTGGACTTCCTGGGAGGCCGTATCTTGGGCCACGACCCCCTCGGAGTTCCCCATCCGGAGGACCGGGTTACCGAGGGGTCGTGGATGAGGGGGAGGCATAATATTCTCCCCCACCTGAGGTTGGAGGGGAACCAAAGTGCCGAGGGCACCCGGGTTCTAAGTGAGCGTCTGGATGAAGGCGGAGAGCGCCGATTGAACGTCGATGGTAATGACCGGAGGGCTAATTTGATTTTCGCTCCGGTCCTTTTTCTTGGCCTCGATGCCGAGGCGGGCATCAGGGGCGTTTTGTTGAATCTGCTGGCGTAGGTCGACAGCCGTCTGGTCCAACCCGGCGATGACGCCGCCCCCGGGAGCCCTGTTGGAGGCTTCGGGGACGTCGACCTCGCCGAGGGCCAGGTTCCTGTCCTCTACATTCTTGGAGTTGGCACGAGTTGTTCTCACCATTTTAGATGGGTGTTTTTGTGTTTGGTCGAGGGGGAGGGTTTCTTACTTGATTGTTCGACCTCTCAACGAGAGCACCAAATGATGGATAGTGTACCCGGGGGGTAGCTTATCCGAGGGGTTATTACGGGGAATAACAAGAGAGAAGTCAGAGCAAGTAAGTATAGAGAGAGAAAGTATATTGGAGAGTGTTCAGCGTTTTCAGCGTGGTTACAAATGGGGAAATGGGGTGCTATTTATAGTAGCTATAAATGTCGGACAGGGACACGTGTCAAGCGTTCATTGGCCGAGGGGTCACCTCAACTGGTTGGCGCTGGCAACCGCATGTGGCCGCATTTAATGCGGCTGTTAGATGGGACATTGTACAGGGTATGGTGATCTGTACGCATGTGGAGCGGATATTGTGTCGGAAGAGGCGCCCTTGGCAGTAGATGACTAGCCGATGGCTCTGAGTACCGGGGACCCCCTTAGTGTCGAGGGCTCCCACTGCCGAGGGCTACTGATTTTCGCCGTTTTTCCCAGTAACTTTGTTTTCCTGTCCTGGCCCTCTTGTTAGAGTTAGAGCCTTCGGCCAGGGGCCGAAGGCACCCCTGGTGCGCATTGTGGGCTGCTTGATACTCTGGGCACTGTGATTTGGGTCTGTTGTGCTTTCTGGGCCTGTTGGGCCTTTATTGGAGTAGTAGGAGTCTGTGGGCCGGGGGTTCCCGGGCCATATACTCCATCAATAAGTCTCCGGAATCCCTTTTTGGGCTGTTATCTGATAAATTGTCGATACCGATAATTTGGCCCCGTTTGACCAACCGGTCAACTATATGCCATTGCCATGGCCCAATTAGGATATCCACCACCATATTCATATTATCTAGTCCAACATTAATATAATATGTGGTCCTGATAATATCGGGCGACCCCACCTCCAATGTGGGCCCCACGTGAATTTTACTATTCACGTAAAAGAAATGATAAAAATTTACAATCACGTAAAAACGCTTTTATACATTTCTCAGGGTTCAATACATAATTCGATGAAGTACAAATACTTGGGGGCGGTGTTACATCTGAGACCTAGAATTTGGAGAAGTGAGAAAAGAATCAAGAAGATTGACGAGCTAGAATTCAGAGGACTTGAACATTTAGAAGGAACTGCTGCTTCTGGACATATTTGGATGCTACGGAACATGTCTGCCGATCAGAATGATCCTTATGGACACCCCAAAAGATTAGTCAAGCATTGATTCGATGATCATAGCAATTAGAGCCATTGAGATGCACCATATTGAAAAAGATACGTTCTATCCAATTTATGAGTTTGAACGATAAAACGGCATGATCCAAAGAGCATCTGAAGCTGAACTGTATTACTTGGTTTCTACTGATTTGATCCAATTATTTTTACGAGTACAGATACGTCAACTTCAGAGAACTTTCTCAAAAGGACAAAGATCTAGGCCTTAACGCACTCAAGAGATTCATGATGAGACAAGTCAAATACTATTCACTCTTCGATCTCCAAATGACCATAGAAAACAATTTTCCGAAAGTGAACATGTCTGCACCAAGAAATAAAGCTTCATGGGTCGAGAATTTTGAAGAAGGCACCATCGTCACACAACCAGAGATAGGACCGATCTATAAAGACTACAAAGGCATCAAGCGAGTCCTGCTCATGAACGAAATTCACAAGTATTGTGATGGTACACTCAGGATCATAGAAGACCATCTGGGAGAAGCTGCACTGAAGCTACAAAATTCTGAAGATCCAGATGACCCGGTCCAGATTGCTCTTATTGTAGATTTTCATGAAGCCGTATGAGTTAGACTTGATTTCAGAAGTACCCTCAGACATTATGAAGTCATCCTAGGCTATCGGATGTCATTGTACAAGACTCAGAGATAATCCACGCTTCATCAACATTTGAACACAAAGAGGGAGAATGTTAGAATATTATTTTATAGTGTTCAAATAATTGTAAATTAATTAATGAGTCTTTGTATTTAATTAGTTTAGTTGAGAGAGAATTAGGCCCATTTAATCTAGCTATAATTAACCCCACACAGCTAAAGCTGTTGTTTCCTTATTGTAATAGGGCTGGCCGAACCACTCTCTATAAATACAAGAGGAGTTGGTCGGAATCAGCTCTAAGCCTCTACACATTCTGTTTCCGCATATTATTTTCTGTAGAACCAGTAGATTAGAAATTCTCTCTCAAGTTTATTCGTTCGAGTACTGTGTAATTGTTCTTCATGGATTCATCATTATATATACACGGTATATGTTATTGGTGAGATTTCTCTTTTACTGTTTAAATTATTAATAATGTTCATAGATTAATCGACTATGGAAATCTGGGTATACATCAAACAATTTTGTTTATGTGACAATGACATGATTCAAGATGCTCTAAACATTGCTTACCAATGAATTGGTGAGCAAGCTCGTCTACACATGCCACTTGAACGTTAGATTCCGACTTTTTTTAAGTATCTAATCAATAAAGTAAGAAACGGATTATAATTAATATAGGTATGAATTATTGTGTACGTGCAGCGTGGGACAGAGAAAGAGATTGCACTTAAAAGTGTGTGGGCGGCCGGCCAATGAATTCCATCTCTTTAGAGCAAAGGCTGAGAAGGGAAAATGACCCAAATGTGCAAAATGATTATCATGAGTCCATAAAGTCGCTGCCAAACCTCCTGGATCCATCAACATCTAATAACATCACCTTTGTTAGTGGGATCCTTTCGACCTTATACATAATACATTTATAATAGTTTTGATAATGATTGTATGATATATAGTTCGATAGTAAATTTGAAAATGTTTTACTGACTATACTTTTTATACCATTTGAAAATATCCCTACACGAATCATTAGTTGTCCAATTTTGCTAGAATAGAGGCTATTTTTTGAGAACATTATTAAAATACAAACAGAATAAAAATATTACCTAGTGTGAATTTTGCTCAAATTCCTATAACCTTTAATCATACTAACTACTCTCATTTAATATTACATTTATTATTTTAATACTGTTCTTTTATTCTGGAATATTACCAATAGAACATTATATGATTTGTTTGAACGTTTCTAAAAAGAATTAATTATTTTCTAAAATATTACCAATATATGTGTGTGTGAGAGAGAGAGTGAGAGAGTGAGAGAGGCACTCCTGTGTCCAGCACTTCTCGGTCCGAACGTCGTCCGAACACCGCCGTTTGAGGCGGTTCCCGGTGACATTCTTTTATGAAGTTTTTTGAGCATGTTCCTCATCACGTCTAGTTTATCCAGACCAAATTTCATCCTAAAATTCTATCGGGAAGACATTTAAATAATTTGTTGAAGTTAACTGCGCCAAATTATGCATAGAAAAACGCAGTTAACTTCAACAAATTATTTGACTTCGTTCCCGATCGAATTTTGAGCTGATATTTGGTATGGATAAACTAGACTTGATTAGGAACATGCTCAAAAACTTTCATCAAACAATTCCACCGAGAACCGCCCCAAACGGCGGTGTTCAAATAAAAAGACATCTTCCCGTGCAAAGTGCGAAATTTGCACTTTTTCATGTTTCGCTTTCACTTTTTTTGTGTTTCCGTTGCACTTTTTTGACATTGCGATTTTGGCCAAATTTGGCCAAAACCACAGTGGCAATTTTGTAAATAAACCAATTTTTTTCGCTGACGTGAAAAAGTGCAACGAAAACAAGCAAAATTGCAAGCGAAACATGAAAAAGTGAAAATTTCGCACTTTGCACGGGAAGATGTCTTTTTATTTGAACTCTCCCCTATATCTATATATATATATATATATATATATATATATATATATATATGTGTGTGTGTGTGTGTGTGTGTGTGTTATATATATATATAGTATAAGGATCAAATGAGAAGAGTGCTTATCGTAACAAGTGAGAATGCATCAGGTGCGTTCATTTTAAGATCTGTGCATCAAATTAGCAAAAAAGTGCACGGAAAAGTGCAAAAAATATTATAAAAGTGATGTTAGATGCGGTGGCATTTCCGTAATTAATCGGAACTTTTCTGTCATCGCAAAAAGTGCATCAGATTAGCAAAAAGTGTATCAGAAATAGGTAAATGTGTAACTTCTCACTTCTCACGTTAAGATGTCTTCTCATTAGAGCATCTCCAATGTTATAGTGTGCACGGTACACATGTGGCATGAAAGATAACCACATAAATATTAACAAATAAATTATCTCTCTCCTTATTTGAATGATTTTATACAATTTTGGTAAGTTTTCCCCTTCAATGTCAACTGCAATGTCAATATCTATACGGCCTCCTTGACATTGTGGAGAAAAAATTATCAAAACTCCATAAAAGCATTCAAATAAGGAGATCAACAATTTATTTACTAATATTTGTGTGGCTATCTCTCATGGCACATGTGCACCGTGCACATTGTAGCATTGGAGATGCTCTTAGAACCAACCATATATATATATATATATATATATTATTAAAATTAAGTGTACACATACATCTTGTCCAAACTTGCATGTTTTGCTCCAATCACATTACAATTATTGTTTTCAAGCCATACCATCAACGATAAACCCAATCTAGGCCAAGGAAGCATCGGCACATGATAGAAGTTGGCCAGCCACATGAGAAATTGAGAATGGACCTCACTCCTTGTCTTTAGTCACGTGTGCATGAAGTGAACTAGCTTCCATAGTTTCCTGTTAGTAGCTAGCTAGGTAAAGGATAAGGATATCGATCCCTTGCCACTTGAGATCTTAGCTTGCTTATGATGAGTTGCAGTTTTCATGTTTTAGAAAATGTGTAGTTGGTTCATTTAGTTTGAAAAACATATCATAAAATTAAACTTATTACATACTCCCTCCATCACTTAAAACTTTGTTATCTTTCCTTTTTGGGACGTCCCAAAAAACTTTGTCACTTTCCCTTTTAATTAATTATTTTGTGGTTTCTATTATTTCTCTCTCCTCTGCACAAACCTCAACCACATAGTTTTTACTTTATTATTTTCCGTGCCGGGTCAACTTTGACAAAGTTTTAAGGGACGGAGGTAGTACCATAGCATAGTCACTTGCTTTATTTTTGTAATTTGTTCTATGATGAAACTATATATGGACTCATGACATATATAGCCCAATAAATCAACTATGACCCAACCCAAGAGAAGCACAAAGCACGGGATTAAGAGATAAAGCCATGTGGGCCTGAAAGGGGGATCAAAGCCCGTGAAGGGTCCACCACGCTTAGGCCAACCTGAGTAGGAGGTCTCGAGCCTGACCGGAGTTCGAATGAGGTTAGACTCTCCATACGGCATATGTGGCAACGTCATCATCTGTAAATAGATGGTCATCTCACATGACAGATAAAACTTCAAGGAACATAGCATTAAGGAGGCATTGATTGCGGAAGTTATAACAAAGACGTTACTAGATTTCTCTTACGAGTAAAACTATTAACTGTGCCGGTTACGTCTCCTGGTTGTACTGTAGCATGATGTTTATAAATAGTTTTTGTAAATACCCTAAATAAAAGGGACCCGCCTCTGAAATTATACTCCCTAAAATTATATGTATGTGTGTGTGTCTAAATGCAAGTGCACAACCAGAACAATTTTTGAAGGGGGCTAAAGTCTAAAGAGTGTGTCAAAATTTAAAAGAGGTATATTATTATTGGAGTATCAAAAATACATAATACTACTTCCATTTTTAAATAAATGCAACATGTTGACTTTTACACTATGCACATGTTCTACTTTGACTACACTTATTTATTAATGTAATAACAGTTTTTTGGTAAAAAATATTGTTAAATTTGTCACATTGTAAATTTTCAAAATCTGATATTTTTTTAATTTTGTACTAACAAATAATTATATATATATATACACACACAGAGAGAGAGGGGATCCATCGAAAATAATTACGAAAATGCCACCGCAAAACTGTGAAGTGCTCTTAGGCTGAAAACTGTGAAGTTAAACTTATAGACCGAATGAATATATGAACGTTTAACTAATAAATAAAAACTTATAGACCCATCGAAAATAATTATGAAAATGCCACCACAAAAATGTAACTCCAGAAACCTTAAATTTTTTTCGACGCGGTGGCGTTTTCGTAATTATGATGGAGAGCTTTATAAGTTATGATTTATTGGTTATAAGTTCCTGTTTTCAGTCTATAAGTTTACTGCGTTGTAAGATCACATGCAAATCCAAGGGCTAAGATTACTTCTCATTTTAAGGGGAACTTCTCACCTAAACATATATATATGTTGGTCCAAAATAGGACGCTCGTAGGCTTTTAGGAAAGCTACGTACGACACTCAAGCAGGAAATCAGGAAAATAATGCAAATAGGTAAAGAAGCTAAAAGTGTTTAGTTGCCAGAACTAGCATATCTCATTTGAAATTCGGACTTGCCTTTTATAGGCGATTTACAAATAGTAACTGTCAAAGATACTAATGACTAATTGACTACAACATTAATACAGAATTAAACACATAATTAATAGCACATTGATTGTTGGCCGTTACTCTTCTTGGCTTGCTGGCAGGTTGGCCTGGCTAGCACGCAGAACGCTTGAGCTCCTCGAGCGGCAGACTTCCGGTTGGGCCGGTAGGCAGGCTCCCCGTTGGGTTGGAAGGCTGGCTCTCCGCTAGGCTGGAGGACAGGTTCCTCGCTAGCCCGAAAGGCAGACTCCCAGTTGGGCAGGTAGGCAGGCTCTCTGCTGGGCTGGAAGGCAGGCTCCCCGCTGGCCGGGTTGGAAGGCAGGCTCCCCGCTGGGCTGGTCGACATGCTCTCTTGGGCTTCCGGTTGCACCGGTAGGCAGGCTCTCCGCTGGGCTGGAAGGCAGGCTCCCCGCTGGCCGGGCTGGAGGGCAGGCTCCCCGCTGGGCTGGTCGACAGGCTCTCTTGGGCTTCCGCTCCTTGATTGGCCTGATCGGTTGGGCCAACTCGAGCTCTGGGTTGCTGGGCTTGGGCCTGCTGGTCCAAGTTCAGGGCCGGCCTGGGCCGATTAGGCCCTGGGCCTAGTCCCATAACCCCATCAATATATATATATATATATATATATATATATATATACAGGGAGCGATTCCGGTAAGAACGGCCTCTCATGAGAGAAATGAGAATGAATCTGGATCGTTGGATTGTATTATGTGGAATTGAATTGTGCATTTGGTGAAACTGAAATGTGCATGAGATTATATTGAAATGTGCAGAATAAAAATTAAAATTCAAGTGTGCATTAGGGGTAACTGAAATGTGCGGAATAAAAGGTACAAAAATAACATTACATCGTATCTTTTATTCTGCACATTTCAGTTTCAGCTAGTGCACATTTCAATTTCATTTAATACACAATTCAGATTCACATAATGTCACTGTATCGTAGCCTTTGTGTTGCACATTTCAATTTCACCTAATGCACATTACAATTTCATCTAATGCACATGAAATTTCACTTAAAGCAAATCTAACGGTCCAGATTCGTTCTCATTTCTCTCTCCTAAGATCACGTTCTTATTTGAACCAAAACCTATATATATATATGTGTGTGTGTGTGTGTGTGTGTGTAGGGAGCGATTCCGGTAAGAACAAATCTTAGGAGAGAAATGAGAACGAATCTGGACCGTTGGATTGAATTATGTGAAACTGAATTGTGCGTTTGGTGAAACCGAAATATGCATTAGATGATATTGAAATGTGCAGAATTAAAATTTACACTCACATGTGAATTAGGTGAAACTGAAATGTGCAGAATAAAAGGTACAAAAATAACATCACATCGTACCTTTTATTCTGCACATTTTAGTTTCATCTGGTGCACATTTCAAATTCACCTAATGCACAATTTAGCTTCACATAATGCCATTACATTTTACCATTTGTGTTGCACATTTCAATTTCACCTAATACACATTACAGCTTCATCTAATGCACATTGAATTTCACATAAACCAAATCTAACGGTTCAGATTCATTCTCATTTTTCTCATAAGATCATGTTCTTATTTGAACCAAATAAGAACATGATCAATGGTATGTGAAAAGTGAATTGTTGCATCAATTTAAGAACGGAGGCAGTATGTGAAAATACATACTCCATATATCAATTACATACATAGAAAAAATATTGTATTATGTATTACTACCGACGTTCCACTAACATAGACACAAGGGGAGGGGCTACAAATCTACAATTATTAAGAAAAGTGAATTTATGTGGTTGTTTTTGCATTGATAAAGTAAGAATAGTGTCAGAATAATTTAGAACCACACGAATTTTATCAAATTTGGTATGAGACCATTTTAGTGGGACGCACTGAAAAAAGATGAGGCGATGGTAACAATAGGAGAGAATGTTACATATATACGGAGTGTAAGTTTATTTAATTATTTGTGATGAATGCATTCATCACAAAGAATAGGGCTAATTGGCTAAGCACGAGGCTCCATCCTCATTCTCATTTGCATATTCAAACACAAGGCATACAATGTAGGGACATTTCAAATGTTAGCTAGTAAGTACTTAACATGCCATATATATATGATATATGCATAGCCACCTTTCAGAATTCAGACCTAGGCTAAGCCGAAAGCTACATCATGATTCTCATACGCATATTCAAAGATAAGACATACAACTTAGGCACATTTCAAATACTCACAGAGTCACAGTTAAATATTTAAGTACTTAACATGCCATTAGTGATATATGTGTAGCCACCTTTCAGAATTAAGACCTAGGCTTAGGGTGAGGCTACATCATGATTCTTATATTCACATTCAAAGATAAGACATCCAACTTAGGCAGATTTACAGTATTAACAGAGTCACAGTTAAGGAGTTAACATGCCAGTATGCCACATATGCATAGCCACCATTCAGAAAATTCAGACCTAGGGTATGCCGAGGTTCCATCATAATTCTCATATGCATTTTCAGACATTTACAATACTCAGAGTTCACATTTGAAACATGCACAGATAATAAGTACTCACAAAGTCACAAATTAGAATTCAACTTAGTCACTCACTCACACTAACAAAGTATCAAACATCAATACATGACCATCATCATCACAATAAGTCGTTACAAACTTACAGTATTAAACATCATCAACAACATCATACAATCAAATACATGAGCTTCCAAAATACAATGATATGAATGAAAACTTATATCACAAATTCGCAACAAAACTGTAGGTAGAACCGTGAAACGGTAGAAGTACCTAAGAGAAGATGAGATAGACTACGATTACAAATTAGGGTTAAGAACTTCCACCAATTAGGGTTTCGGACTTCGAACGGTCGCACAACCAACGACGAAGGTCTAGAAAAATTTGAGATCAGACTGACCGGAAAGCGATGAAGGTCTGAGACCTTAACACTAACCGGAAAACCGACGAGGGTCAGGATTGAAGACGGAAGCGAGAGGAGAGTGTAAGGTCCGAAGATGAAGAGAGAAGACGGAAGAGGGAGGAGAGATCGAATGAGGAATGAAGGAGGCGGATAGGGTTTGAGTTAATAAGGACGGTTATATACCCTATACGAAACGATGTCATATAGGGGTTTCAGATATTCAGGCGGGTCGGGCTGGGATTTTACAAAACCTACCCACTACCCGGTCCAAGCCCAAGGATGATCGGTTCTTCGGTTTCGGATTTCGGGTCGGATATCCATATCCAAATGGATATTATCTAGAAAAAAGTTCGAGGTTTTCGGGTTGGTTCGGGTTTTGCACAGCCCTAATTAGGGGTGGTTCGGTACGGTATACCGAATATTTTCTCCCATACCTTTGTCGTACCAAAACCTTCGGTATACAAAATTTATATACTGTTACCTTCGGTATATTTTCAGTATACCGCATTTTGGTATACCGAAAATTTGGTTCCTTAACGATACGGTATCGGTAAATTACCATAAATGTCCCCCAATACAACAAATTATCATAGACTAACAACATATACTAAATTGGTGTGTTACTAGCGACATATTTAATCTATTATTAAAATGTTACAAAATACAATTAATAATCTATTAATGTCATATTCGATATTCAACAATAATTATTATTAGTATATCTAAGCAGTTCAACATGCCACATATTAAAAAAATAACACATTCTTCTAAAATAACTTGAACAATATAGATATAATTAAATGAATAGTGATCTCTAACAAAAATAAATAAAATTATTCAAACAACATGGATATAAAAACATTTATCCCTAACATGATATTGTGTATCTAGTCAATTTTATAATTTTTTCAAAAAAATATTTGAATAAGACTTTCAGACATACTTGTGTTCCTCGAGTCGTGGAATATATCCATATGTAGATACACTCATCACATGACTCATATAAGTCTATCCCTCTTCACATGTTATCTACTCAGCGGCTCAGCCGGTCAACCATCGTGACTCGCAAGCTTATGGAACAAGATGGTTTGGTTTGGATATTAGTACATTATTCATTAGTCTTTAGGCTTAGTTTGTTTCACTAGTAGAAAACCGGCTTACACTGACGCTTTTATAGTGACGCTTTCTGATATTATATAAAGGACCTATTAACACAAAAG